TTCCTGTTCGGACCTCATCTGTAATCCGAAAACACTTAGGATACAATCAGTTGTTCCCAAATCCTGTTCAACCTACAATACAAATCTGAATCAGAAAACAAGGATATTACCTATGACAGTTGGCTCCAGGTCCACAAAGACCGCTCTGGGAACATGTTTGCCAGCTCCAGTCTCACTGAAGAAGGTGTTGAAGGAGTCGTCTCCCCCTCCGATGGTCTTGTCGCTGGGCATCTGACCATCCGGCTGGATGCCGTGCTCCAGGCAGTAGAGCTCCCAGCACGCGTTGCCCATTTGGACACCGGCCTGACCAACATGGACAGAGAGACATTCACGCTAGAGGAGCACAAAAAATAGAGGTTGAGTTAGTACGGCCTTGAATCGCCATTTGGGATTCAATCTGCTGAAAGGCGTTAACCTGCAGAAGCTTACCATGATTATAAATTCCTGCTGCTGACGTTGAGGGTCTGCTAGAGAAATCTGCGGTCAGTGTGTCTAAGATTTCTCCACTACTTATAGTTCCTCCAAACTCTATGGTAACAAGCTTTGTTGTTGATAAATGAAGGGTTAACTGGGTTAAGCAGAGGGGAAAAATCAATAATTGAGCTGTGGAAAACATTATGCAAACCTGCTCCGTCACACATCAATAACCCTTCTTCCCACACCAAGATAATGTATAACCCTGACCTCTGCATATGTCTGGCATGTAGAACTCATTTAAGTCACAGGCAACAAAGCAAACAGTGCATTGTTTGAGTATTTGTGAAGATAAACTCAAGGCTCTTTGGGAGGGGTGAGATCTCCATGGAGATCTGCTAGTCAGTGAATTCCCAAAATATTTGTGCCCAGAATTCTGCAAATATTGGATAAATCCTTCACATAGCTTATGGGTGGTATAGTATTTAAGTTAGTCCGTTTAGAGGAGCTGGGAGCAAACTGAGCCTTGATGATGAATTCAGTTTAACTAAGACACAAAAATAAAAAAGGTTTAACAGAGATTTGGAAGAATAATGCACTTAAACATAATAAGAAACAGTGACAAACTATAACAAAGCTCAAAATGTGTTACAATTATAACAGGGCATTTAGAAAAAAAAAAGCTCATCAACTAAAAAATAAAAATCTACAATATATTTTTCTGAGCATCTTTCAATGCCTGCCACACCTTTTTAAAATATATTTTTGGATGTGCATTCCTGTTTCTGGCATCCATTGGTTTCCTTTTTTTGTATAATATGAAAATCTGTTCTGTTTTCTAATCCATTGCAGGGAACATCAGACTGTTTGATGTAATAGGCTAGGACATGTAAAAGCACTGCTATGATCCTTTAAATATTAACATGTTGATCGCTCTATAAACTACACTAAAATAGATGCACTATTGCACATTCTTTATGATCAGACCTCTTAGTCTACTCCCTCACTGCTGTTTCATCTATTGTTGGAGAAGAGGAAGCCCCCCCCCCCCCCCCCNNCCCCCCTCCCCATGAGGCCCGACTGGGCTGCTCTGTTGTGTTTTCCACATGATTGGGTGTCCTGTTGTTATAGAAACCTCAGAGGTCACACTGCTGTTGCTGGCATGGAGCTTGAAGTGTCAGCAGTAATGTAGATTTACAGAACAACAATGGCACAAGGCCAGGCTGAGTTTATCAGCATGACTTGGTTTGGTAACTGATACTAACTACATTAATTCACAAACCAATTTTGGGATAATTAGGTTATGTAATATGAAAGGTTACATGAAACCCAGCTCCTTTATTCTAAAGCAGGTTGTTTTCTGACAGTTTGTTGTTGCAGATTTCTAAGATGGTCATTTTATTTATAACCAGTAAAGCTGCTGCGTTCTTACATTACTGGTATACTCTTAAAGAGGGCCTCTTATTAAAGTGGCTGCAATCGTTGAATGGCTTGAACTGAATTTAAATCTAATTCTGCAAAACCTTTAATGGAGATACAGCTGACATATAATGATGACCACAACACCACCTGGTGTTGTACAAAGGAAAAACAGCAGGAAATACAGGAAGTGAGGAATGAGTGGTTATATTATTGAGAATATTTATAGGCCACTTTGATATATATCAATTTTTTGATGCACGTGCATGACAATTCCTTCCTTTCAGCCTTGAAGATAAGATCCCATGGAGGACTGAAGGAAAAATGTCAGTCTTGCTCAACTAATTTAGGATGAAATAAAAAGGTAACACACATAACGCACTGATACATGTTGTTTTATTCATCTTTAATGACACTGATTTGATTCAGCAGATGGTGCATTAGTTACCACATGGACTGATTCTTTATTCAATAATTTCACACAATGTAAAAATACCTTTTGCATTGGTTTGACTTATTGAACTGACTTATTTGATGTTATGGAAGTATTAAGTGTGGTCTAAACCTGTTTACTGGAAAAAACAACTAGTGGTAAATAGTCAATACTGGTAACTAAAGAAGTCGAAGGAAAAAAATCAGCAGCTGAGTTTGATGATAAGGTTTTTTTTATCCATCAATGAAAAGATGATTCAAAAATCAAAATAAAACCGTATGTGCATTAGAAAATGTAAGCCACACAACAAGTCATGTCCTCAAAATGGCCAATAAAATAAATGAAAAACTACTGTTCCCTTTGATAATCCTATAAGCCCAAGAAACTGCTATAGATAGATTTTGACAATGCAAGACAAAGCCCCACAAACATATACTGTTTATATCCATGGTGTTCTCCAGGGCTCTATCCTTGGACACCTGCATCTTTCAGACAATCACAGCCACACTTCACAGAGCGATCCCACTTGGTGTCACAGTGTTTGTTGTGTTACAAAGTAAATTACGATACAATCAAAGGCTTCATGCAAGGAACTGGGAAAAGTTCTCAAAACATAATTTTTTCCACAGCCATTGACAATACATAACATAAAATATTCTGACATTCATACAGTACATCCATGACTTATTTGTCCTTTTTAAATATTGCCAGTACATTGTTTTATGTTTCATTTGAGTTCAGCAAAAGTATAAATAATTCAGGAATAACAAATCAAAACAAAAACAAATCAATAAGCTTAATTTTGGGTGTACAATTTGACAATCATTTACCACATGGTAGTGAGTCGGGGTAAAACTTACTTTTTCTATCATTTATTTTTTTTTCAATTAGGTTTGTGTAAATGTGTTCATAAGAGTTAAACTAACTGGCACTGTTTTGAACTGCACAAACAAATCATTTGGTATCATAGACATTGAGATGTACTTGTATTTCAGTACATATTTCTAATCATGTACCGATACATTTTGGTGTGTAAATAGACATTTAGTGACGGTTCGACCGTGTCTTTACCAGATAAATATCTGAGGAGTTTGGGGCACAAGAGGAGGGGAGAATCTTTATGTGGCGTGAACCTCACACCTTCTGGGTAAAGTTCTCCGGGAAAACACCTTTGGCTGAAATATCTTTGTTCTGCACCCAGTGAGACTCCTTCACGCCCATGAGCCAGCCGTCGTCCTGCAGAGAGACAGAATGCAAGTCATTGGATTTAAATAAGATAAATGAGTAACAAACAAGTAAAAAGGGGTTTAACTTATACAAAACAATTTTTTTTGTGTGTGTGTGTTTGCTGATGAAGCAAAAGTCACTAATGAAGTACTAGGTAGTTGTTTACAAGTGGTGGCTAGGATACATCTTTGGTAAAAAGTATAATAAATCCCTGCTGGCTTTTAAGGTTTTTTTTGGTAGCTAGATATAATAATAATAATTATAATAATAATAATAACAACAACCGCTACGCCACCAAGTTCATGAGGTCAATATCAGCATACGCATTAATCTCTGGATCACAACCATTAAAAACTATTTTTGTAGAATGAAATAAACGCTGCTAAAACAGATAACACAAAGGATGGAATATTTTTCATTTTAGACAAGGTCAGATACCTAGATCTGAAATACAAGTGTAAATACAAAGGAGGAGACCAATACACATGGAAAAGACAAACTGCGAGTAATAGAAAGTGTATGTCAGTGACCTGTTCGTCTGGGTTGTCAAAGGCCAAAGCCAGAACCATATCGCCCATCTTCAGTTCCAGTTCATCGCCATCAGTGGCGGCGTAATCATGTATCGCTTTTACCTGGAGTAAAAGTTCAGCAACAAAAAGGTTTTGATTCAATGCAAATCTTGATTAAAAATGTCATATCACTATTCAAAACCAGTGTATTTTAATAATGACTTTCACATGTTAAAGGAGGATAAAGTCGTCTGTTAACCTTGTAGAGGAATCCTGGAGGGAGTTCGCCATCCGAGCCATTGGTGACCGCACTCTGTACCAAAGAATAAGCAGAAGAGGTCCAGCTGTATTATTAAGGAAGTTAAAGAAATGGTTAACGTAGGTATGAAGCACTAAAAAGAAAAGAGTTCACAGTAGAAATAAGAAAAGGTAAAAAGGAGAGAAAGGGAAAGAGAAATGAAAACTTTTTGTGGCAAGAATTTTAGGGACCCTTGAATTCAAGGCTTTAACCTGTTATCTCTTCGAACAGAGGTTGCACCTGCCCTCCCTATCCATCCGACCCTACCTGGGCCTCTCCATCATCGCCCCAGTCACCCTGTCCCACTTGGGCACTGTCGTCACCCCAGTTGGGCTCAGTGTACGTCTGAGCGGTGTAAACTTCGTCGTTGTTCCAGCTCTCCTGACCCTGATCTGCTCCTGCGTTGTCCCAGCTGGGCTGGGCGTTGCTCTGGGTGTTGCTTTCATCATTATCCCAGCCACCTTGGGCCTCCTCTGGGTATTCTTCGTGCTGGGGCTCCTGCTCTGCGGCGGTCTGTTCTTGCTACAAAGGGGGTTGGGAGTTGTGGAGCATTGTGGCGGGTTGGAAAGCAAGAGGAAGGGTAGGTGGGAGGACGGGAGGAAGATGTATTGCAGAAGGCCAGAAGAGCAGTTGGGTTGTCAAGGGTTGAAAGTGTGTAATAAAGGTCACGACCCGGGGTTGTGCGGGGTGTCATGAAGCCAAAAGGAAGAAGGGTTTGATGAAGAAAGGTGCAGTCGGGGAGTTATTCCACCATCAATATGGAAACATACAGAAAGAATAGTTGTAGTTTTCCGATGAGGGCAAGCTAGTACCTTCATCTATCTTCCTCTGCTTTGCTTTACATGATGATTATAGAAAATGAAAGAGAATGGGAGCACATTTGACCCATACTTACCCATGAGGCCCATGATGGCGCCTTCCGTGGGGCAATAAGAGACAAGACAACTAGTGAGGTGTAAGTTTTTACTCACACACAAAACACACAAACTCCAAATTCAGTCACCTTTTCAAAACACGTTTTGCAGCTTTTGCATGAAGTTATTAAAACTGCTGCAGATACATTTTCTGTCAATATTCTGCTCTAATTAAATTTGTATTAGATTGTATTCTTTTGTGATTATTTGTTTTATATATTTTATGCTTGTAATGAACCTGGACAGAAAGAACTAATAAATTCTCGAGGCATAAAATACATTATCAATCCCCATCAGAAATAAATCTGATCAGCTAATAAGTATTAAGCAAAACAAACATTTGCATGCAAAATGAGGCTGAATGTGCATGCACATACAAAGCCATGCAGTGGAGGTTATTTCCAGATTAAACACACACACACACACACACACACACACACACACAGATGACATTGTTTACATGCAGTCTAAAAATAGTAAAATGTAAAGACCTTTAAAGGTTTCTAAAAACTCAATTCTTGGGGGCTCAACAACCTTTTTTAAACTGCATGTAAATAAAGCCTTCAACCCTTCAGCTCTGACCGAACCCTGCCGACTGTTGGCCTAAACAAAACGCACCCACCTTGGGAGCTGGAAATGTGATGGGCTGTAATACCTCTACATCCCAGTCCAACAGGTTCCCCCCTGACCAGGGCTCAGACTGCTCCACACACACACACACACACACACACTCAGGTTAGGAGGGTTTACTATGCCGTCGATGTGAAACGTCATAAATTTAAGTTAACAAACATTTGCTCCGTACGTAGAAAGAAACTCAGGGAAAAGACCACATGTAATGGTGGTGGTGGAATTAAACAGCCACTTTTGACAGATAAGATCAGCACTTCCATTAATATTGTTTGGCGAGTTAGTCTTTCCCGTTGAAACCAGCCTACATTGTAAAAAAAAAAAAAAAAAGAAAAAAAGAAAAGAACTTCACCAAAACATTTCTATTATTATGGTAAAAGGATAGTAGTACTGTTGAGTTCACAGTTAAAGAAACTGTTTTGCCACATGAAAATACCGAATGAATGCTGTATAAAAAGGGTTTGCCATGAAGTGTTTTACTGTAATCTTTTGCTGTCATGGTTTAAAACTTTTTTTGTCTAGGAATGACCAAACAAAAAACTGTTTTTGTTAAGCTTGTATTATTTTTCCCACAAAAAGTATCCAGGATGGTGGAATCATCGGTCTGACCTGCGGCGTCGTTGTGGTGGCAGAGTCTGTGTTAGTGTCAGGCACAGAGGTGTCATCCTCGCACTCGTCGACATGCTGCTGTCTCTGGTCCGGAGACGGCGTCAGTCGAGGTGGAGGACGACTGGGAGGAGGACCGGGCTTCTGCACCGCCAGGAGGGGTTAAATCAAAACCACAAAACACACGTGTGCACGCATGCAGAAGCAGCGAGGGACACAGAGACACATTAGTACACACAAAATGGTTCACATCTTTCATTGTTGCTGTAGCAACCAGAGTTTGAAGCACACTGAGGCCTTCAGATCACTTTCTTCCTGTTCTCCTTTGATTTTATGTTGATTTCTTCCAGTTATATTTGGTCCTTTGTGCAATAAAGGTCCTTTTTATCTGTATATTCGTACGTATAATGTAGTCAATACATTCATGTGGACACATTCAGTTGTTTTGTTCTGTTCGGTGGTTGTTGTTACCTTTGGTGGTGAGCTGGCTGATTCACTGTGGTTGGCTTGCTCACTAAGAGAAAGACAAGAGGTAGGAGAGAGAAATTAACACAAAACAAGGCAGAAAAGGGAAAAAGAGGTGAATATAAGGATGGAAATAGGGACAAAGACGGATAAAGAAATCTTGTAACACAGAGAGTGAAGAGTAAAATAGGAAAGATGCTATCATACAATCTCAATCAAACTCATCACACATGCAGTTCTCAGCACTGTCCACATGAGGGCGACAAAACACAAATCTACTGTCTCTCTACAGGTTAACCTGCAGTGCAACATGGCAGACATCCAGAGCCCAACATGCACACACATGCAGAATGGTATTGTCGGGTATAAACAAAACAGGAAGTACACAGGAAGTGTCACACAAGAGTTAGAAACGGGTTACAGGTTTAAATCCCAGACCTGCAGCGCTGCAGAGACCTGGAAGGAGTTTGAAGCTCTCCTTGAGCAAGGCACTTGACCTAGTAGTGCATCTACGTGACATCTGACAGTAGAATAATGAGGAATATTGAATATTGAACAGAACTGTAAAAATGTGCATGGTGAATTTTTGGGATCTGGAATACCTTATATGTCAGATTAACCTTAATAACCCTCAGTATAGTTTTAAAATTTTAATTAAAAAAAAAAAATTAAGCCTTAATAATAATATGACTTTATGCTCAGAATGTCACCACCTTTTTCTCATAAAAGTATTATTTAAATTTTCAATTCTATTCTAAAATCTCTGATTTTGAGTTTTCCTGAAAGTGTCTGATATTTTAACATAAATTAGTCCCAGGTTGTAAAAAAACATAAAGCATTGCCCTTTTACAGTTTAAATCAAACTGCAGGCCTGCGGCCCGTGAGATTATGTCAACACTATAATATAAATTCGGTCTGCAAGATAATTACATTTTCTGCTCGAGTTCGGGACACCTCCATTAACTGTATTTTGCGTTAGCTTTGCTGCAGTAGCCTGTAGTTTACATTCCCTTGTTGCCAAAAACAAGCACAGAGTTAATTTTGTAGATAAAAGTGAAGCAAAGTGCTGCATGCTCAGCCTGTGTGGGTCACATGAGGATTAACGTGCAGCACTTTTTACCTCTTGGCACCGTCTCCTGTCTTTGCCGCTGCAGTACCATCTTTTCTGCAGTAGGGGGGGCGTTGCAAGGGACATTACTCTCATTTGCTCTACACGGCGTTAAATCTTTAAAAAAAAGCTGAAAGAGTCCGACTGAAAACTCTGTTCACTTACTTCTGCTGCCGCTGCTCTTCCAGTTTGGTCATGATGTCGTTCAGGTTTTGGCTGAGCTGAGGAGACACACGGAGCACGATGAGGATCAATAAATACATCAGCTGATCAGTTCAATCAGTCGCACATGAACAGTTTGACTCACCTTGCTCATTTCTCTGTGGAACCTCTCCTGATGACCAGCCAGACCCTGGAATGTGTTAACATAGATGGCAACACGACTGCACAGACACACACACACATAAACATTTGGACTGAGTCGTCTTTAAATATTTCGCAGGAGAAGAAAATGTGTCTCACTTGTCCCACAACACTGGAAGCTCATCTTGTAACTCCACGTTCAGCTCCTCAAAGATCTTCTGAGCTCGACCCAGCTCCTCCTCCGCCTGCGCACACACACACACACACAGTGATATATCTGTACTCTGTGTGGCTGTAACACAAATGATTGAAGAAAGACAGTTTTTCATGAGCACACGTACATGCAGACAAACATACAGGGTTTAATAACTACAGGCATGTGAATGCTGTGAGCATTCAAATGATGAAGAGTCTGACTGATAATGACGAAGAGTGAATAAAGGGCTGTTTCTGACATAAAAGCAATGTAAACACTAGTTTGGATTATGGATCAAATTATAGCGAGGCTCTCTACACATGATGATGAGCAGTTGAAGAGAAGAACTAACCTCAGGTGTTGTTTGTAGGCGACATTTTGACGCACAACCAATGAGTAAAGTTGGCAGGTTTGACTGACACAACCTGAATGCATGATTGAATAAATATTTTATTAAAATTTCTGGGATGTGATGGTCATTCTTTACTTGCCCCTCANNATGTTAGCGGATGGGACAAACTAAAGAATCAATCAAAAGTCATTTAAGGTAGTTCTTATCACGCTGATGTTTGTTCGTGTTTTTAGGGTGTTTCAGGGAAGTTTTATGTTTTTAAAAATACGGATTGTTCTTCCAATTTCGGTTTACTCATCTGAAAACAGAAATCTGTTGGCTGTAAAGTACACCGACTGAGAAAGCAGTCACATTGTTATTGTAGCCAGCCTCTCCAGCTCAGATAGATATTTAACTCTGATTGATCGTTTGACCTGAAAGCGACCAGCAATGGATGAAAAGCTCATTCTCCATTTCCTTCACAAGATAAAAGCACCCAAACCCTGATCCGGATCATTAAGTTCTCACTCATCTTCTTCCAAAAACCAAACAATCCTTCTTTTGTGTTCAACTGAACTAATTCATTATGAACATGTGTAGAGAGCCTGAGGAGGCTGACAGACTCGGGGGTGAGGAGGGGGAGTCAGTGATGAACCAGAGTTTCACCTGGTTGTAGGAGAGGTTAGTCTGAGCCACCTGGTGGGCTGATATCAAACCCTGAGCCCAGCTGGGAGTCGCCATCTCCAACAGGGCTGCTGGCTAACCACACACACCATGCAAGAGAGAGGAGGGGAGAGAGGGGAGAGAGAGAGGGAGGGAGAGAAAAGGAGGAAAGAGAGAGAACAGGCCAGAAAGAAGACGAGGGAGAAGAGAGAAGAAGAAGACAAAAAGCAAACAAGAACAATTCAAGACAAACGCAAACATGTTAATGAGCATTTTAATTAGAGAATCAGTCAGTTGTAATTATTACAAGAGTTAATTCGCTAACAGAATAAACTGATTCAGATTTTGTTTTTAACTTAAGGTGGTATGAACTGAAATGCAATGAGCCACTCATACCGCCTTAAGTCAAAAACTCTGAACCATCCTTTTTAAACTTTAGCAGCAGAACACGCTCAAACACGCACGAACAATAACTGACCCTTCATAAGGGGCAGAGCTCAGTAAGGGTCAATACATCAGCCTATAGAAATGAACACACACACGCTCTCGTGATTACCTTTGCGATCTTGGCCTCGTCCTTCTTCTTTCCTTTCTGTAAGGAGGAGAAGTGATGCCTGGCGCTGTCAAAGTCCACCATCTTCCTGTCACGCTTCGCTATACGAGCCTGTAGCAACAACAACAGTTCTACATTTACATCTACACAGCTCCTTCTTTATTAATATTTTACACGTTCTATTCTCTTGATTTTAGAATTTATATATTTTATTTGTTAATTTTTATTTACAGTACTTGTTTTACTTTCTCTTATTTTGGATATTTTGACGGTGTACCACAACAACGAGCTCAATTTCTTTTATATGTCCTAATAATGTTGTTTCTCTGGTGATATCTTAAGGATTGATCTTGACTTCATATCGAATAACAACAAAATACAGAAACTTACACACCTTAATATCAGGAAACTGAGCCAGGTACGTGTCCATGCAGGTCACAGATTTGTCCGTGAGGTTCTGGTGGTAGTCTAACCACAGAGTGTCTGTGTCCTGAAACACAAACGTTTTACATCATAACAAAATACAGATCAAAACTTTTTCTAATAAAATCGAGGATATCCTTCTTTTTTCACAGTTCTAAACTCTATTCTATTCTATTTCTATTCTATTTATCTAGTTATCAAACAAATAAATCACATATTCTGTTATAGCGACCAATATACAGTGGTGGAAGAAGTATTAGCATCAAAATATACTTAAAGTACCAAAAGTAAAAGTACTCATAATAATAGACATTATATTTCTGCATTATAATTACTGATGTATGAATGTGTTCATCACTTTGTTGTTACTGCTGGTAAAGATGGAGCTAATTGTACCATTATTATTAGCTTAACTTATAATCATACATCGTATTTTATTAGTTGATTATATTGTATATTGATAATCAAGATCTACAAAGTAATGAGTAACTAAAATGATCAAATAGATGTGGTGGAGTAGAAATAGACAGTTTAAATGTACTTAATTACAACCACCAATATCAGCTCTCAATAATCTGCTTCTCTGAAACCAACAACTACGTCCTCTACTGCAGAGCTGAACCAGTGTTCCCCACATGGACTTAAACTGGAAACCATTAACCGCCAGAATAACTCCCACTGTTGGTTCTGTGCTTCCCTCTGAAGACGACGGCTGCACTCTGACTTTAACATGATTTAGTGGTAAATAAGCCGCTGAGCTGTGGGAAACACTGGATGCTGTCTGCTTTTTACCTCCAAGTTATTGTCCATCTCCTTCTCTATCATCTCCTTTAGGACGGAAGGAGAGACGCATGCAGTTGAGAAAAAGAAAGTGTGTCAGCAAGTAGAGAAAGACAGTGAAAGAAGTTAAAAAAGATTCTTTATAAAGCAGCTTTTATTAGTAATTTTAAATCACACTAAGTTTTGTAAGTTACAGAAAGATCTATAACTGAGTTGGTGTTACTTGAAATTTTTGATGTAATCAGTTTCAACATTTTTTTGAGTTAAATTAACTTGCTGATGAATAAAACACACTGTAAAACCTGACAACACATCTTTATAAAAGAAGAAAGTTAACATAACTTCACTTCAACTTCAACCCTAACCCTAACCTAGTTTTAGTGAATTTTGAACTATTTGAATGAACTAAAATAAAATAATGGAAAGTATTTCCACAGGAATAAAGGGTTTTCTTACAGCATTAAGCAATTGTTTGTTAATTCTTGAGTTATTAAGGTTGATTCAACTCACTTACTAGTAAATTAAACAACTTTAAAGTAAATAAAGTTGGCCCAACAGAATTGAATCACATGGAACCTTTGAGTGTAACGTACATAAACAGTTTCCTCAATCAGGTTTTACAGAGCAGGATTCAGATCAGGATTTATGTTTATTCCCAACACCAGTTAAAGACCTCTCCCTGTTACAGTTTTTGGATTTTAACAAGCAGCTGCAGTGCAAGCAGAGACAGAAGAAAGTGTAAAGAAGAACAAGAAGAAAGAAAAAGGTCATGGTTTCCTGCTCTCACCTCTACCAGCGCGTCCATCTCCTCTTTGCCAAACCACTCAGGTTCGTACATGTCGGCCAGACAGTCCTGAAGCCGCCGCGACGCATCGTGCATCGCTGAAACACAAAGAGTCATATTTGCTTCTGGATACAGTACGTTAAACCACCCAACAGCATAAAGGATGAATATAAAACAATCTCTACTGCAGCCAGCTGCAATATTACAATTTATCAATAATAGTAATAATAATCTGATGCAAGATTATTACAGTTAACTAAAACTAGGTGTGAAACAAACATTCACTGAGTTCACTGAAATAAAAACAAAAACAATATTGTGTACTTTATATTGTGAACTAACTAAAATACAATACAAATCTACAGGAAACGTCACACTTGTCCACTGGGGGAGCGCCAGAATCAACACAAAATATAAAGATGTTAATAGTTCTTCCACCGCCGCTGCCAGGCTACAGAGCCTATAAGTCAAACCAGTTAGTGCCGCGAATGTTCAGCACTCACTTTTCACTGCTGTCAGGTAGGCTTTCAGGTCTTTCTGCAGTTTGGTGCCTTCGTTCTGAGAGAGCAAACAGAGAGTTTGAGAGAGAGAGAATAAAGGACTGAACTAACAGGAACAGGAGTTATTTGAGCTGAATTTAGCCTTAAAATATCTCTAAAGAGTGGTAGAAATCTTTAATTAACCTATCCTTATAAAGTCACACAATAGATACTCATTTGAAGTGTTTTAAGACAGCGGCTCCCAACCTTTTCTATCACTGACGACGAATTGATATTTCATATTATATTTAATGCATAACTGTGAATATTGATCAAAGATGAGTTTTCCTGATATTTTTATACAATTATCTGTCCGTATTATGTATTTTTAAACATTTTTAACAATGAAATATACTAAATAGGCTTCTTCTTTTTTAAACTAATTCAGCATTTTCTTCATACTTTTGGACGAGGCTGTGAATGCTCTGTAAATATAACTTGTGTTCAGGTCTTCAGAGTT